AGGGGAGGGGGGATAGTAGAGGATAGGAAAGATAGCAGAATACAACAGTCACTAGTATGGCAATATGTAAAAACATGGATGTGTAACCGATGTGATTCTGCAATCTGTATACAGGGTAAAAATGGGAGTTCATAACCCACTTGAATCAAATGTATGAAATATGATATGTTAAGAGCTTTGTAATGTTTTGAACAACCAAAAAAAATTTCAAAAATAAAAAAAATGTAAAAAAAAAAGAGAGATATTTTTTCTGGGCTGGGGTTGTGGCTCAGTGGCAGAGGGCTTGCCTCACACATGTGAGGGACTGGGTTTGATCCTTAGTACCACATAAAAATAAATAAACAAAAATAAATTTAAAAAAGAGATTTTTTTCTGAAACATTTTGAAAATAAATTGCTGATATGATAACTATTCACACCTAAATCCTTTAGCATACATCTAGGAATAAGGACATTCTTCTATATGAAATATCAGTGCTGTTTTCCTTCTCAAGAAAATAATTCTACATGATCTGCAGTTCATATTCAGATTATCCCAAATGTCCCAAAAAATGTCCTTTATAGTCCTCACTTTTTTGATCCAGGATCAAATTTAATATCCAGGATCTAAGATTCATATGTTGCATTTGGTTGTGCTGTCTCTCCCTTTTGATTTTTTTGTTTGTTTGTTTTCCTTGATCTTGACCTTTTTCATGAGTCTAAGCTTGTCCAGTGTCTCCTATCTGAATGTATCTGATTGTTTCCTCATGGCCAGGTTCAGGTTGAACATTGTTGGCACAGATATGCAAGGCTGGTGCCTGACTTCTTATTGCATCATGTGAAGAGATGTGATGCCTGTTGTTTACTATTGGCAGTGCCACCTCCTATCAGTTGGTGAAGGTGGTGACAGCCAGATATCTCCATTGTAAATATACATTTTCTTTTTGTGATTAGATAATCTGGAGAGTAACATCTTGGCATGATGCAAATCTGTTTCCCAGCAACCTTTTACTAGATTGGATCCTATTCAAATCTGTGGTGATTTTTAGTCTTGCTTTCTACTTGTAGCCACAGTTCCCTATTTTTATTTCCTTGAAACTTGAAACATTCTTATTTTATATACCCAAGTGCTTTGCTCTGTGGACCTAGTTCTGCCTCCTGTTGTTTCTGATGGCTCTCACTCATGGTGCCATGTGTGCTTTGTTTGTTTTTATGATTTCTGACCATAAGACTTTATCTGCGATTTCACTGACACCTGGGTAGAAGGTGGAGTCTCTCTGAGAAGACATACTGAAGTTTTGGAGAGCTTCCAAGGTGATGTGAGTTGGGGGTGAAACCTTCAGGCCAGTATCTTTCTTGCACTATGGATGATGCAGGTTTAGTTTTGGTTTAGCTTAAGCATGAACTGAGCATATAACCTTGTTAAATTCCCATCTTTATTGGGTTTCTCCTAAGAGACTAGCCTCCTTGAGAGGGCCCTAAGCTTTGTCTTTTGTCACTTCAGAGGCCATCAGAACCCAAATCCCAGGTTACCCTAAGCAGATGCCCTTAGAAAAGGTGCCAGCTGCAGGCTTTGCAGACCTCAATAGGTTGCTATGTCTGTCCAAAGTATAAAGGTGGGGTGCAGCCTGGCCCCAGCCACCCACTATTGGGGTCCCCTCTCCATGGAAATAACCCTGAGACCTTCTGTGCTGCTGCTGCTGTGGTGTCCCAGCAGGATACTATCATGCCATGGCCAAGGGCCTGTGGGACTTTCAGGGTATTTGTAGTACCTTAAGAAAGGCTGTCAGAGTTAAACAGATTGTATCAGATTCTTTCCTTTTAATTTTTTGAAAGAATCTGTCTGGCTATGATATTTTAAAAAGCAGGCAGAACCAAAGTTATACTCTGGATCAAATTTCCTATTCCTTTGCCCTCTGGGAAGAAAAGACAGGGATAGAGCTGGGCATTGCATAGCACCCCGTGGCTGGTGCTACACACAAGCTGTATGCAGGGGCTGCGGCCTCCGCCCCAGGAGGCCTTGTGCCAGGGGAGATAGGATAATGGGATTATTCTCAATTAGATTAATAAAGAATAATTAGATGTCATAAATCAAGTAATCATAGGATATTGTCATGGGAAAAATATGTAGGTAGAATTAATTAGTTTTCAAATAAAGCGTTTATTTTAATTGCTTGAAATGATGGAGCCCTTAATTGCCGATGCATCATTTTGGACTGAGCATTTCGGCTGTTGTAACAACGTGACGGGTTTGTTCCCTGAAGTTCTGGGGAAACAATAGAGGAGAACTTGATTTCATCACCTCACAATGAGTCTTCTGCTGTGAGGTTCTGGAAACTCCCACCAGGCCGCAGGCAGGTGGCAAGTGTGGGCGGGGCTTCGGCTGGCACTGCCCAAGGCCATTATGCTGCGTGTGTGTGTGTGTGTGTGTGTGTGTGTGTGTTCTTATACATGTGTGAAATGTGTTTGCCTGTGAGCATGAATGGGCATGTGTTTGAGTTGTGAATATGTTTTTGGGTGAATGAGGGTCTGCATGAGTGTGTGCATATCAGTAATGTACAAGTGCATACATATATGCATCTGTAGGTTTGTGAGTGTGCATATGTGAGTCTAAGCATATATATATATATATATATATATATATATGAATTTAAGACTTTAAGCATGTGCATGTATACATTTGTGAATGTGAGTGTATGTGTGTGCCTGTATATGTCTTATTCATGAATTATGCATATGTGTATATGTATGTGTGTGCACACATGACTACAGTGCTGTGCTGCACATGGGAGCCTGGGCAGAGATGGCCTGTCAGAACCTGCTGCCTGGTGGGAGGGATGCCTATCCTGACTTGGTGCTTTTCTATAGGTTGAATTGCTTTAGCCAGGGCAGCGTTCTTGGGCCCCTTTGGAACTGGGACCCACAGCCTTGGATCTGTCAGGACATCCATTTCTCAGGGCCCAATAGCTGCCACTCTGAAATGTCTTCAGGCCAGCCTGCTGGTAGCATCTCTTTCAGCATTTGGGGCCCTGTCATGGGCCAAAGCAGGAGCATGGGTCCTAGGAGCAATGTGGGGTTGGATCTCTCTCTCTTCCTGCAGGAAGCCATCCTTCCATTCGGGAAGAGTTAGTTGACTTTTAGTCAAAAGTGAGAGGGGCTATTTGACTGAAACTCTTTCTCAGTAACCTCATTCTCTTTGAAAGCCCTTGAGAGAAGCAGGGTTTGGTTGGTATTGGACTGCCATCTGAGGTCCAGGAAAGGCAGACCCTCACTTTGGTGTCAGAATCTGTTCCTGGACCTGACTTTGTGGGTTCTAGCCCTAGCCTCTTAAGCCTAGCAGTCCTCCCTGCACAGGCTATGGTTACCTTTTGAGATCTTTGCTCTGGTCCTTGCCTACTTTCTATGCTCTGTGAAACTTGGAAACTACTCCTTGCTTCTTTTGTAGAAAGAGAGAGATGAGGGCCTGGAGTAGCTTTGGGGAGTAGCTCTAGCAGGTAGGCCGCAGGGCTTGGTGGTGGAGGCATAGCTGAAAGAAGTTGCTCTATGTGGGCTGCCCATTCAAGAAGTCTGCCCTTCTCCTTTCTCCGTACCTACTCATGTGCTGTATGTGACCTCAGCCTATGGCCCCCTCTTCCTTTCACATCCCATTCTGGCCTCCCAGCCAAAGCTTGGTTTTGGAGGAATTCTTTCTTTTTTGCTCCCATTTTCTTTGCCTGCTGGTCCTTCTGATGGCTATGGTGGCTTCCCCAGCAGAGCAGGCCTATTTCTCCCTGCTATGTGCTGCCTGCATGTGGGTGGATTTGGGACTGTTCCAAAGACCAGGGGAAAAGGCCCCCAAGGCACACTGCTTCAGCCCTCCAGCTATCTACTTTGCCTTTTACCTCTGCACCCTCCACTTAGCACTGACACATGTGCCCTTGGCCTTTGGGACAAGTCACTTCTGGCTCTGGGTCACCTCTGCCTCTCAAGAGCAACCACCTGTGGGACTGAGGTGGCATGGAAGGCTCTGCAGGGTTAAATGAGTGGGGTGGGCTCTAAAAGTACATTGGAAGCCTGTCCTTTGCAGGGTGGATCTTAGCAGGTCTTAAACGCAGACTCTGTGATTGAGGAAGTGGCTACCTATCTGTGACAACAGCCCCATGGGGAGCAGCCAGACAACTCTGCTCTGGCCTCTGTCCATATACTGCAGCACTGGCTACTGTGCTCCTTGGTGATGGCATGCAGACTTTTGAGCACTCAAGCCTGACCCCAAGGGCCTTGGGTAGCACAACCAAACTATTTCCTGCCTCAGTTTTTCCAAAGTAAAGGAGTGCTTCTTACTTATAGGGTTTTTGTAATAATTAGAAATTTGTGAAAATATAGCCCAGGACCCAGTGAGGCTATTTGCTGTAGAGGTGAGGAGGGCACCTCTCCTTCAGCCCCACTGGGACCCTATGTGGTACCTTGCCGAAACTGGATTTTACAAAGAAGTGCACAGATAGACCTAGGAGAAGGTTCAGGAGTCTTTTTTTTCAATGTTGGGGATAGAACCCAGGGTCTTACATTTGCTATGCAAGTGCTCTACCGCTGAGCTACACCCCCAGCCCCAAGAAAAGGATCTTTACCACTGGCAGTGGAAAGGAATTCTTGGAGACAGCATGGGGCTCTATATAGGACCCTGAAGGCCAGAGTAGCCAGGGGTGGGTGCAAGTGCCCTATATTTGTCCAGGAAGGGTTCAGGTTGGGACCTTGTTGGGTACAGAAGCTGATAGGCAGGATAGGGATAGGATATCCAGGGAGGGTTCCCAGATTCCAGAAGGAGCAACCAGAAGAGGTTGGCAGTTGAGGAAAGGATGGGCCTTTTAACTCTGGCATGGACCCCTGTGGCCCATGCAGGGGGATTTGGGGAAACAGGAAGTCTTTCTCCTCCCAAAATGGCCAGGAACACTGAGCAGGGCAATGTCCCAAACACCTTTGCCCAGACTCCCTTCCTGGAGGAGGACAGAGAGTTCTGTCACTCACATGTCTTCCTTTGGTCTACAGGTGACTACGCATGGCAGCCCCTCTTGCACCACAACCACCAGATCCCCAGTTTGTCCTCCGAGGTACACAGTCAGCAGTGAATGCTGTCCATTTCTTTGGAGGAACCCAGGCTCAGGGGTGCCCTCTCCTCTTTTCAGGGTGAGTAGCAGGTGCCCCATCCTGAGCCCAGGAGTAAAGTCAAGTGGTCATAGGCTAGCATGGAGTCAGTTACTTGTTTGAGTACTGGCAGAGGGCTTCAACCACCTGTCACCTATGCTCATTGCACTTTTAGAGACTATTTGATATGTGTCCTTTTGGGAAGCTAGGAGGAACAGGGATACACAGCTTTTCGGTATAGACCATCTAGTTTACATTTTTATGGCATGGCCCTCACTCTGCTCCAGAGTAGCATACACCACCCAAGTTCCCAGGCAAAAGCTCCCGATGCCCTCTCAGTTTTACCCTGTGTTCACAGTTAGAGCTGTCAGCTATTATACTTAAATTCTTGATCTGCTGAAATGCCTGTATCCATCAGCTGTGTGTGGTGTCCAGGTTGGTCCCAGAGTGAGCTCAAAGTGTCCACCTGACTCTAGCACCTATCCCTGACCTATGCTTGGCTCTTCTCTAACAGGTCTCAGAGTGGCTTGGTACACATCTGGAGCCTGCAGACACGGAGAACAGTTGCCACCCTGGATGGCCATGGGGGCCAGAGTGTGACCTGGCTGCAGACACTGCCCCAGGGGCCACAGCTCCTCAGGTAGGTCACAGTGGCAGTGAGTCAATGGAATCCCATCAGGCCCTCCAGCAAGAAGCAAGAGCTCCCTAACAGAGGCCCTTGTGGTTCTCACTTAGCTGCTAGGGAAGAAAGGGGGTGACATGAAGGATTCCGGGAGCAGTAGCCAGCTTGACCAGCATGTAGGGGAGCAAGGGCAGCCTTTTGTCCTTGGGAAAGCATGTAGATCTGACTTCTACAGCCCCATCATCCTCACTGGGGCTCTTCACTGCTCTGAGATGGGTCTGGGAGGTGATATACAGGAGATCAGAGGGCTGGAGCTGGTGACATTGAGGTGGCTGCTGCCAGCCTGGGTGTGAGAAGGTGGAGAAGGCCAGGCTTCATGGAGGGCATCAGATTGTGACTTGGAATTAGGCAGAGTTGACAGCATCACGTGTTTAGGGGAAGGAAGTGGAATGAAGCATATGTTTGGAGACTAAGAGCCAGTAAGGAAATAAGTAAACATAGCAGGTCAAAGGCTGGGTGCTGAGACTCTTGGACCTGGAGCCCTGGCCTTGTGTCCTTTCACTGAGTTACACTAGCCCATCTGACTGTCACATTGTGGTTTGTTTTAGTGTACTTCTGAAGTAGGTGCTGTGATGGGGCTAACTTCCTGCCTGTAGGCCCTATAGCATTTCCTGTGGTTTTTGCCCATTCGGTCTCCTTTTTCCAAAGTCCTGAGCCCATGTGTTATAGACTGTATGTGTGTTTTTGTGCATGTTTTGTCTCCTACAAATTACTTGGGCATCATTTATAGGCTGCATCATAGTTGGAAAGGACCATAGAAGTTGCCCATCCCCATTGAGATGCTCACTCACCCAGCCTCTTATTAACTCAAGGGTGGATTCTGGTATCCTTGGTCTGTCCCCAGGCAATGTGTTTAGAGTGGTCTGGTTGCTGGTTATCCAACCCTCTTAACTGTGATGCTATCTGGACAGGTAACTACTTAGAAGAACCTGATAAATGTTTAAGGATGGTTCTTCCTGCAGCCTGGTGCCAGTCTGTGGCTTCAGAGCAGGATCTGTTATTCCTAGTGGAAGAGACCACATGTGAAGAATCCACAGAGAGCCTGGCCAGTGAACAGCATGAGGGAGTATGAGGGATTTGGGGATGGGCAAACTCAGGGACCTCAAGTTAAGAGGCATCTCTTGGTAGTTGACTAGGGCTGCATTTTGGCATTGCCACTGCAACATTGTGGAGATGGTGGAATCAGGGACACTAGGTGGGCCAGAAAGGAGCAGGAAGGGGCAGATGAATGAGTAAGAGGCTTCCCACAGGGAGAGGAAAGGACAGGGCATCATAGGGACAGGGAGAGTGTGCAGGGAACGAATAAGAAGTCCTCTTTCAGGGCTACCTGTCTGCCATAGCAGACTGTTTGTCTTCAATCACAGGAATATCTTCCCCTAAGCAGGTTCAACTGTTGTCAGCCCAGGAATGCACCAAGTAAAATATCCACCTTCTTGAGCAGCCTTTGGCCCCACATGGGCCTGCTGCCACCTTCTGAGACTTGGCACCCATTACGTCCAGGGCATTCATGAGCCATTACCTTCATGGCCTAGAACTCCAGAAGGACAGACTTATTTTCCTGTTCTAGACTTGATGCTCAGGACTCCTGGGTGCTGTGGAGTCTAGTTCCCAGAGTACAAGTCCTCTGACAGTCTGCAGAGTACTTTTGTGCCTGACTCATACTGTATCACCACCCCAAAATGGCTGGCAGATGGCCGAGGGACCACAGTTGTTCAAGAGGGTGATGGCTCTGACTTTTGTGCTTGTAGAATCCTTGTTGAAGGAGCTTAACTCCTTTCTGGCTAAGCTGCCCCAGTTCTCCTCACTTTCATGTAGAGAACTCTGTGTGGTTTTAGTCTTTCCTTGATTTTCAGAGTAGACCTCATTTCCATATATTCCTTTAAGCCACTTGCACGAAGAGTGATCATTTGTAAATGTTCTCCCTGAGTTTTCAGCTGAGAGATAGACCCTTGAGGGCCTTCTGCTCCTCCTGGGCCCAGATGCCTGGGTGGCCTTCACAATCCTTTGGGCTGGGACCATGGAAGGCACACTCAAAGGGCAAGCTTAAAGCAAGTGTTTGATGGTGCCTCTTATCCCAGCTAGAATGGTGCTTCAGCAGACCCTCTCCTCTCCAGGTAGGGCCCCTCTCTGAGTAGGGCTCCTCTCCAGGCAGGTGAGGCCATGGGTCAGGAAGCCTGCAGGTGGCGACTGCAGGTGTGGAATGCCCAGGTGCATTTGCATTGCACTAGAGACTACAGCCCGCAGAGGCTGGCTATACTTGGACTGTAATCAGCTGTGTTTGGAAGCCAAGTCTCTCCAAGTGGTCCTTGAAGGGGGCTATGAGCTTTCATGTTTGGGGGAGGCTAGAGGATAACCAGCTCCACCTGTACCTGTACCATGATAGCCACCTCAGCAGGAAGTTTCTTTTACCTTTTTTATGGTGAAATGTAACATACTTAGAGAAAAGTGAAAGAATGAGTGTACAGACTATTGCATCATCACAGAGGTAGCACCTGAGTAACCACTTCCTGGTCAAGAAGTGGGTGCTGCCAGCCCTGCAGCCCCACTCCCCCAACCCTACCTGCCACCCTTAAAAATGTTTCCTGCCCTCCCCAATGACATAGGGAGACCCAATGCCTTGTTCTTGCTTTACCTTCTTAATATATGTCTCAAAAAAAGTATAGATTAGTTTTTTCTGTTTTTTTGTGTTTTTTTTTTTAACTTAAAAAGGAACAACAGCTTCCTCTGTGTCTGATTTCTGTCACTTGTCCTAATCTCTGCAAGGTCCACCATGGTACATATAGCTACAATTAGTTGTGTAAAGGTTTTTTTGGTGGGAAGAGGAGCATACTGGAGATTGAACTCGGGGCACTCAAACATTGAGCCACATCCCCAGCCTTATTTTATTTACAGATAGGGTCTTACTGAGTTGCTTAGCACCTTGCCATTGCTGAGGTTGGCTTTGAACTCACAATCCTCCTGCCTCAGCCTCCTGAGCTGCTGGGATTACAGGCATGCATCACTGCACCCAGCTTCAATTAGTTGTGTTGTGGCTGTTTTTTTGTTTTTTTTTTTTTAATGGTATCTATTAGATGCATTTTCCTGTTTCACTTACTATGCTCCTGTAGGTGAAGATCTGGGTTGCCCACTTGGGACTGTTATGAATGAAACTGCCAGGACAACTCCTATCTGAGTCTCTTGGTGCCCAGATGAAAACATGTCTATGGGTTGGAACCTGCACCTAGAGCTGGGATGTCTGGGCCACAGTGCGTACACACATTGGACTTGTCAGCAGATGTTCATCTGTACCCCTGCAGCAAGATCACCTCCCTCCTCTGTTCCCCCTCAGGACAAGGGTATTTCTGAGTATAATTTGAATTGAGTTTTCTAATCACAGTGGACCTCATTCTTGTATTTATCAGCCATTGGGATAAACTCTTTTTTTTAAAAAAAAAATTTATTCTTTAGTTATAGGTGGACACAATACCTCCATTTAGTTCTTTTTTTTTTTTTAATGTGGTACTGAGCATCGAACCCAGTGCCCCACACATGCCAGGCGAGCACTTTTCCTCTAAGCCACAACCCCAGCCCATTGGGATAAACTCTTAAATACCTCTTTGATCTCTTGCCTGTTCTGCCAAATTGACTGCCTTTTTCTTAGTGACATAGAGAGTTCTTTTTTAGAATTTTTATATCAAAAATTCTTTCTCTAACATGATGGCTCACATTTTTTTACTCACTTAATGGTGTCTTCAGTGAACCAAAGTTCTCATTTTAATGGAGTCACATTTGCCAGGCTTTCCCCTCCTGGTCTGTGCTTCTGGTTCTTGTGGTGGAATCCTGCACTAAGTCCATGGAGGCCCCTCCCTTTCTCCCAGGACATCACAGTTCCTTTTTAGATCCACCATTTCTCTGGAATTCTTTGCTGATGTGCTCTGTGTCCCCATTGTTCCTTCCTTCATTCTCCTCCAGATTCAACCATGTTGGTCTCTGAGGTCACAGACAGGAAAGGGGGGTGCCAGGTTGGGAAAGAAGGTGGTCAGGTTGGGAGGCCAACCATATCACCCAAACAAGCTCACAAGTTGGGCATGTCAGTAAATATCAGGAAGATAATAGGAGCTGGAGTTTTCCCTGTGCAGAGAAGAGAGTTATAAACATGAAAAGGGGGGAAAAGGTGACATGGAGGTGGCATTTGTGAGTGCTTAGGTTGAGGTCCTTTGAAGATTAGGTTGGTGTAACATCAGAATTCTTCCCTATAGAATTCTAACCAGACAAGGGGAAATGGTGGCTTTGTGGTAGACAGCCCTAGTGGGGACCATCTTGACCCAGTGGACAGGATTGCTATCCCCAGCAGTGGGCAGATTGTATCACGTGCCTCTTGGTTAGATGGCTGAGGCAGATGCAGCATCGTTTTCATGCTCATGGTCTGTCTCCCCAAACATGACTTGGGACTTGGGACTAGGCAGTGACACCCTAGGAAACAAAGGTGTGCCAGGGTCATGATGGATGGGAAAAGGAGGGATTATGGCAGGGTGTAGGAGGCATATGAGGACTGGCAGCCAGTGTAGTGTGCATCCATGTGGGGCTTTACAGATAGCACTAAGACATTGGAAAAGTGCACATCTGGGGACTACCTCTGGATGGCTGTATGTTGGTAATGAGGTGATGTCCTTGTTTGAGGAGGGGCACAGGGAGAGAATGGGCACATATGGAACAGATGAGGGGCTGGAGAAGGGCCGAGCTGGGACAAGTAATCACTAAGCAGGAGGCCTTCATGCTCTTTTCACAATTCTCTTCTGAGTACAAAACTGATGTAAGAAGTTACAATCATGTTTTTGCATCTGTAGAAGATTGGTCCCAGGATCCCCTGGAGATAGCAAAATCTGTGGATGTTCAAGTCCCTTTTATAAAATGGTGTAGTATTTGCATATAACCTATGCACTTCCTCCTGTATACTTCAAATCATCTCTATAATAATGTTAATGCTATACAAATAGTTATTATGATGTATTGTTTGGGGAATAATGACTAGAAAAAAAGTCTGTTCATGGTCAGTACAGAAACAAATTTTTTTGGACATCATTTCTGATCTGCAGTTAGTTGAATCTGCAGATTCAGACCCCTGGATACAGAGAAACAACTGTACTTGAAAAATAGATCAGTCCTTTGCTCACTGCTTGATACACACTGGTCTACCCACTACCCTCAGGTGTTGAACACACTGCTTAGCTGTCTTCTCCATTTTAGGCTCTGATCCTTCCTTGTGTCAAGGACACCTTCCTATTATCCTTATTGTCATAGGTTTATGCTGGGCCGTACCATCCAGCAGAGACTCATGAAAGCCATGTGAGTATTAGTTCTCCTAATGTCCAGGCACATTTAAACTTCAACCTAGCAGGTTTTCCAGAAACCAAATAAAGATTAGGATTGAGTTGCTCTGGGTCAGCACAGGGAGATTATCCTCCACAGTGCCAGGTTCTCTGAAGCATGGACACCTCACACAATATGGTTCACACAGAGAATGTTGGTAACATGTAGACATTCAGTCCAGCTTTGTTCAATTTATTCAATTTCCCATTGATGTCTTCTTGTACAGCATGGTTCACTGAGTTTTCCTGGGTCTTTAGTCCCCTATGGACTGAGATTGTTTCTCTGTACTTTATTTTTAATGACCTTTGCTCAGGTGTATGCAGAATGCCCCTCTGGTTTCCTCAGGATTAGATGAGGGTCATGGTTTTGGGGAGGAAACCCACAAACTCAAATGCCCTTTTTGTCAAGAAGGCATCCCATAACTCATTGTAGGTGAAGTTGACCTTGATCACTTAGGTCAGGAGGTATCTGCTATGGCCTACTGTCAATATCCAACAGGTGAGTATCCTTAATTCAGAAATCAAAGTCCAAAGTGCTCTGAAGTCTGAAACTTTTTGAGTGTCATGTCAGCTCTCAAGATGTTCAGGATTTTGGAGCATTCAAGTTTCATATTTCCAGATTAAGAATGCCAAACCAGTGAAGTCTTTGCATATGTTTCCAAAATCTGAAATACTTATGGTCCCAAGAATTTTGAATAAGAGATCCTCATCCTGTATTGCTCCCTTGGTTCCTGAGAAGCAGATCACTATGTCTTGTCCACACTCAGGTGAGGAGAATTATGTTCTACCTCCAGAAGGGAGAAGGTCCAAAAACATGCGGGTCTTTGTTTAAACCAGCATAGTTAAGAAATATTTAGGGGAAGACACTTTGAGCTTATACAAATGCCTTGTGTCTCTTTAAGATTTCACCCAATAAAGTTAGCATCCATCAGTGGATTCTGCCTGTAGTGGCTATTACTGGGGTATTCTCATAGGGGGCTTTTTATTTGGGAGGGGTACCAGGGATTGAGCTCAGGGGTGCTCTACCTCTGAGCTATGTCCCCAGCTTTCCCCACCCTTTTTAGAAAAGTTTTCCCTAAGTTGCTGAGGCTGGCTTTGAATTTGTGATCCTTCTGCTTCGGTCTCCTGAGTCTCTGGGTTTACAGGTGTGTGCCACCATGCCTGGATCTTATGGGGACCATTTATTTCCATCATTCCTCCTCATTTTCCTTTTGGTAGAATTCTACATTAATTGAAACTATGGAACATATAAGGAAGGTTTGTTCCTACTTCCATATTTATTTATATGTTCACTCATAAGGGGCTCATGGAGATTTACTTCATTATTTAGGTTAAAATCTAATATTAATATTTATCACTCAGATTGTTACAGCTTCCTTTTTATGTGCCCCTATCCTTTATTTGTTTTTTTAAAAGTATTTCCTGGGGCTGGGGTTGTCCTCTGCACCACATAAAAAATAAATAAAATAAAGGCATTGTGTCCAACTACAACTTAAAAAAAAAAAAAAGTATTTCCTTACTTGATGCTGGAACTCATCTTGGTTTTTCCCTTACCCCAGCCCTAGAATCAGATATTTCTCCAGAAACCTGGATCCTGTAATTGGAGAACAGGATAAACTGAACCTGGGCTATTGAGTGGGCTCATTACTTCTAGGTCTCTCAGTGGGAAGTGCTAGGACATCTAAGGACATGCCACCCACACTAGCATACATATCCACATTTATCTCCAGGTCTGTCTGCACATGTATGTAACCACACACATTCATGCTGAGCTCTTGACTTTGATACAGCCCCACAGGTCTATCAGGTCTCCCTGCTTCTTTATAATGACTCTCTGTGAAAGGCAAACAAGGCTTCGGCCATCCACCACTTATTCAAATATTTGTTGCACTCTGATGGACCTGGATTCAGAACTGTTTCCCACCCGCTATGAGAAACCAAGTTACCACCTAGACCGCTGTATCTCTACAGGGTTATCTTTAACTTTACAGTTGGAACACTTCTCCAAACTCCTTTAGTTGGCTTCTATCTGCCTTCTCCCCCCTGAGTTGTTATCCAGTTTGTCACAGTGCACAGTCCTTCCTGGGGCTCCTGATATCCTGCTGGGTTGGCTGGTTGTTTTTAATGTACATACATTGAAGTTTATTCTGTGTATGGGGGTCTAGAGGTTTAGCAGTGCATGGTCATGAACACCCCTTCCCCAGGATCACACAGACCAGCTGTGTGCCCTGACATTGGGTGCCTTGGATGCAGACTCAGGTGTGAATACTTGGATATCTGACACTCATAACAGCTGCTATCTCTGAAAACATGTTTACCTTTGGCCTTGGGGGACCAAAGGCTCAATGCTGGTCAAGTGGGTGTGCCTGTGTTCACTGGGTGTCTCACAGCATCTTCCTCATGATTTGCCAGTCAGGGCCGGGATCTGCAGCTGTGCCTATGGGACCTGGCAGAGGGCAGGAACACCATCATGGACTCTGTGCACCTGGAAAGTGTGGGCTTCTGCAGGAGCTCCATCCTGGCTGAGGGGCAGTTGCACTGGATGCTTGCTGTGCCAGGGAAGGACAGTGATGAGGTAGGGACTCTTTAGGCTCCTTGTTCCATGAGCCTCTGGCTCTGGGCTTCTCTTAACAAATATACTCATCCTCCATACCTGGTAAGGGGGCACACTGCTGCCTGAAAGACTCTGTGGAGCTGATGGCTGCAAGTCTAGGGACTAACAACTTCACTGTAGTTCCAGTGACCTCAAGCTAGTGCATGGCTGGCTCCACCTAGTTCTGGTCACCTGTGAAGTGGTCTTGGACCCATACCTGCCCTGTGGCCTACTTGAGTCCCCTTACCCTTATCCTTTACTGCAACCAGAGGGATCTTCTTGAGTCATCCTCTCAGGGCACTTAAGAATCAGAAAGGAGCCCAGAGAGAGGGACCCGTATCTCAGAGGCCTTGTTACCCAGTAGCCTTGTTACTTTGTTACCCATGGAGAAGAGTGGCTTAGAATGGCTAAATGTTCAGGCCCAAGGCCCCTAGGGGCAGTTGCGGGAGAAACCACTCACATCCTCAGGGATCTTAGACTAAAGTAGAAGGAATGCTGGAAAAGGTGGTGGACAAGAGACCAAGGCCCTGGTGAAGTCAGAAGTAGGGCATTAGAGCAGCAATCATAATTGCAGGGCTACAGGTAAATAGGAAGATGGGGTTCATTGGGAGCAGGGAGGTCATGGTCAGATTGTTCTTAGGCCAGAGTGACCAGAGGCATTGGTTATGTGGGAATGATCAGCTGAATAGTGGTATTCAAGCCCCCAGGATCAGAGAAAACAGAGTCCACCAAGGGAAGGGGTGCCCATGACATGAGGAGGGGCAGAGAGCAAGAAGCCAGGGTGGAGGGTAGTATAAAGGAGGAAGGTAGGGCTATAGGCCCAGCTTCCGAGGGAGATGAAGGGAAAGTGTAGATCATTTGGCCTGGTAAGTGTGCAGCACAATTGCTCCAGGGCCCAGAGGGTAAGTGAGGAAAAGAAGGGGACTTTTGTCTATCACCCTGTCTTCCTGTGGGCCTGTGGTCCTTTAGGGCCTATAGTGCTGGGCAGGGCGGCTCCTGCTGATGCTGGCAGATCAAGCCCCATGTAGTCAGTTAGACTTGGCCCTCACCCAAGAAAATTCATTTTGTCTTCAAGTAGATCCAGTTCATAAATAATGAGATAGCAACAGGCATTTATTTGTTCATGATTGCATTTAAATTACCAATTAGGAGCTACATACACTTTTCTTGCCAATTTGCCAAAAACCTGTTAAAAGTTTTATTAATGTGAGAAGGAGGGGCATGCTTCCCCCTGGACAGTGGAAACAGTCAGTGCCAGCTCCTTCTGAGCCACACACTCACATAATGCCATCCTGATGTGTGTGAGAGCTCTTTTTCAGAGTGGTACTGTTGGCCATCCTCTGTGTCCATCTCAGCCACCCCTAAGCCACTGGCCAGCACAAAGTCAGCCTGCCATCTTTCTCCCTGGAGGCTATATATCCCTGCACAGTTTTAATCAGCTTTCTGGCTCCTGGTTCTCCCAGTGCAGGTGGTATTTTTCAGGAGCAACGGTCTGGGGACCATGCACATCCTGGAGAAATGGTTTGTTTTCCACATTCCCACCTGGAATCTGCCTGGACTAGCCCCTTGAAAAGTATTGCTGGCCTGTGCCCAGACAATTCCTGGGGAGCGTGCTCCTGCCCTGCTTGGCCATCTGGGTGGCCACACTTGCCCCAACTCAACATTTTTCCTTCTGAAAACAAAAGTTGCAGTTGGGTGCCAGATGGAAAGTTCTTGGTTTCTGTAGGAGGCTCTGAACACAGGGCAGGAACTCCTCCTCCAACCTCATAGAGGCCTGGGCTGGGGTACCCAGACCAGGTAGATGTAGGCCTGCTTTATGTGCTCAGGCCCTGAGCTCTCTGCTCTCTTGCACACAAGTTATGGTACCACCACTCCTCCATCCTCTCTCCCACAGTTTTCAGCTCAGGCTCTCAGGACTGCCTTGATTTTCACCTTCTCCTTTCCCCTTGACAGAGGATAGACTTGCTATATGACTCATACCTTTCCTCTGGCCTACTTGAGTCCCCTTACCCTTACCCTTTACTGCAACCAGAGGGGTCTTCTTGAGCCTGCAGATGGGAACAGATCCTCCTTTAACAACATGTGGATGTGGGCTGTGCAAATTTCTGCCTCCTTCAGCACCCCCGACCTGGTACATGCAAGTTTTGTGGCAGCTGCTCCTTCCCACTATATTTGGGTTGCAGTTCTAGCCCTTGCCTACTGGCTGTTCTCTACAAGCCACACCCTGTACCTATAGCTCCTCACACAGTGACTGGCTGATTCTGCAAAAAAAAAGCTGAGGCTGAGCCACTATGGGGACCTTGATGAGAGCACCCTGCCCAGAGAGCACCACAGCTCAGCCTGCCATTGGTGAATGCATTGGCAGAACTCTAGCCGAAGACCCAGGCTGCTCAGTACTCTTCCCTGCCCAGAGACTACCCTGGACATGGCCCCACCCCAGCACATTCATGGTAGAACTAGAATTCAGACTTAGGGACCCAGGCCCCTTGTCCTGGATGGGTTGGTGAAAGCAGCACAGCTCTCACTTGCATGGGCACTGAACCTTCAGACATTGCCCTCCAACCCAGCCTGGGAGGCTGAATCAGTAGGTATAAGTTCTGTCCAGTTGACACCCCAGCCTCTCTGGACCTTAGATTCCTCATGTGCAAACCAGAAGATACTTGTGTTGGCTGGCCTTTGTTTCCAGGGTGGCTGAATATCAGTGTGATTGCTAATTTATTGATAGAGATACACTCTCACTCTAGGGAAGTTCAGGACCAGCAGAGACCCCCTAATTTGCAGAGTGATGGCAGAAGGAACAGGTAGGCACAGGTAGGCCTGACTTGCTAAAGAACTACTTGACAACAAACACAAGGCAGGAGGAACATTTGGCCAGCCCTGCGCTACATTGTGTCTTGAGGGAACCCCCTACTCCTCTGAGTTCAGAGGAGTGCTGCCCTGTCCCCCTGACGAAGCTCAAATATGCAGGGACACAGGACAACTAGGGACCTAATTCTGGCCATTGATGCTCCAGAGCCCAAGTCTTATTATTGTGGCTTTGGCTGTCCTCTAGGGAGAGAGTTGGGTAGGGCCTATCCTGTCTGGTCAGATAGGCAGTCCACTCAGGTTGACAGGCCAGCACATGAGACTGGACTATATTGGCCACAAGGTATGTCTCCAAGCCCAGTTTTAGGAGGGCCTGGCATCTGCGCAGGCTGGTACAGGGGGACTAGAAAGCCAGGATCCAAATGGACTTTCCCTAGGCACTGCACATCATGCTTGTTTTGTAGGCTGCTGGTGGGTCCCAGGTCCTATGCAAGTCATTGTACTACTTGATGTGTCTGAGTTGGTTCTAAGTGTTTCTTGTATAAAATCTATGCCAAGAAAGAAAGACCAACAGGAGGGAGAATGGCCAAGGTAAGTCAGGGCCAACTGAGTTAGGTCTGTTCTGCCTAGATGGCAGAATCAGGAGGGCCAGAGGCAGCCATCAGTCGGTGATGGGCTGGTCACTCAGGAATGATGCAAGCATTTGTTTCACAATAGCCCTGGCAGCACCCAAGCCCACGAGCCTGTGCAGCCTAATTAGGAGACTCAGCTTCCAGGTCCCCGTGGGGAGGGGGGCAGACAGAAACTCGCAGCAGCCTTGGTTAATCGCCTTAAAAGTCTCTTGTTTGTATAGCACAAACTCAACTTGGCATAGGCCCAAATCAACTTGTTTTTTTACTGTCAGGTTCAGATTCTGGAGATGCCATCCAAGACGTCAGTGTGCACCCTGAAGCCGGAGGCAGATGCCAAGCCAGGCATGCCCATGTGCCTGAGGCTGTGGCAGGTAAGGCAAATGTTCACCAGCCACACCCTGCTGCCACACCCGCCAGACTGTGAGTCATGCCCCATTCAGGATTTGATTTGTTGTCAAACCAATTGGACAGTATTCCCTTTAGAGAACATGTGTACCTGCTACCACAGCCCCAGTGTCCCTGGCCAGACCTGTGCTCCTACCCTTACACCCCCACACTCCCAGTTGCTGCTGATTCTAATTCCAAAGGGCTCCTGCAAATTTCTCAGAGAGCCCTGGCTTTGGTGCTTATCCTCTGCAGGCCCAGTTGGGCTCACCCTTCAGGGTAACCTCCTGCTGATGATGGTAAGGAGGGGACAGAAGTGTCAGCTGCCTCCCAATGGGGATTCAAACCCTTCTCCTTGGCACCTTGGTCCCAGGCTTTGCTGAAGCCAAAAGAGAAAATATTGACTAACTTTGGCAACCCCTCATGGCCCTCATTATGCTTGGAATTAATTCTTGTGCTTCTCTTAGAGGTAGGAGTGGGCTTCTTAACACTTTGACTGCAGCCCCCTGGGAATTTCTGACCCACAGCCATTTCTTCTCAGTTTTATTTTCTAGTTAGAGTTAGGAGGCCTCTCCTGATGTTGTTAGCAGAAACTGGGGCCCTAGTTTTCAGTGGGGCCTGGGATGGGTCCTCCCCCAGGCAGCCCTTCTGGAGGTGAAGCCTCTTTCCTCGTGATCCGCCCAGGTCAGCACTGGCCCAGTGTTTCCCCTCCTGGGGTCACTGGTATCTACAGTAGCAGAGTAGATGTGTTCATTCTAATGTGTTCATTTGCAAAGAACCCCAGAAACTTCTTTGACATTGCAGAACCCATGGTGGGCAGATTACTGAGCAACACCTATCTCAGGAACAATTGATAAACCTCAGGTCATCTTCCTAGTCCTGGGTGCTAAGAACAACCCTGTCCATGGTCAGGGAGAAGCAATTCCTGCCTTGTGCCTGCTGCTTCTTTGAACTCAGAAATTTCTAAGTGTTAGATGAGATGGGCCTCTGTAGTTTGGAAGTATCTAATTACCACACAGGAACCACTGGGGTAGGCACTCCCAGAGACCCTGTCCCAGGTATTTCTGTCCACCCACATGAGCAGAAAGATTGCTGGCCTATCTTGCATCTGGTGCCATCTGCAGTTTCTTGACTGAGAAGGTCAAAGTTGGAATTCAAGATTTTCAAAAAGCTGATCCTGGGTGTTCCCTCTGCTGCTGGAGCCTCTTGGAGAGAAGCCCCTAGGGAATTTGAGGAGGTGGGGGCTTCTGAGAGGTTCATAAGTCTCATGAAATGATGAAGTAAAGGGCCTCATGCTGTCACTTTTGCAACCATGCCCTAGGTATTAAATAGAGCCTAGGTCATTGCACTTAATGTGTCCACACAGGGTTCCTTTGTAGGCTCATTGGTACTTTCCTGGAAGGATAAACACCCCCTCACTCCACACACACACCCCTAAATGCCACAGGCAGTGACCATGATGCTCGTAGGACCTGGGGGGCAGGTCACCTGCAGCTGTACTTCTATTCCACTCCCTGAGAAATGTGGGTCATTGCACAATCATCCAAAAATTCCAACAGAAAAATGTGTAGAAAGGGATGTACAAACTTGTTAAGGTAATTAATATAGTTGACAGAAGGACAAATCACGGTTTTGCTGGTGATATGGATCTAACATTAAGTATTCAGCTGAAAAAAGTAACTTGGAATGTTCCTCTTTTTCTACCCAAACCTAAAGATCTGGGTTATAAACTTGTTAACCTTAGTGTGGCAGAGTGACTAGACTGGATATTTTTTTCCTGAAACATTGAGGTCTATTATTTTGTTTCTCAAAGCAACTGACCTACATTGTTTATTATTGCATAAAAGGTCAGGATCCAAATCAGGCTAGAGGCAGTATCATTGGCACCAACCGCAGAGCAAGGACTTCCCAGTTCCCTACTCTCTGGCCCACTCCAGCTGGACCCACCTGAGTTGGGAAACAGAGAGTTAGGGGCTCCCCATGGGACTCTGGCCTGCTATAATCCCTAGGTCACATAGGGACAGGACTACAGAGTGAATTCTTAGCTCCAGATCTTAGTTGGGGATGAGGGGAGGAGCCAGAGATAAGTAGATCAGAAGACTACAGCCTCTTATCCCTGAAGGGGCCCAGCAGCACCAAGGGTGTGGCCACCAGGGGTTCCCCTACCATGATAGCCTATCTGATCCATGGTGTCTGATACTGGGAGGCTATAGAAACCTGGGGCATAGCAGAGAGCTAGATGGCCAGGTGCTGGACTAGTAGTAGTGGCTGGGAGGGACCAAAACTATAGGGCAACTCCCTCCACACCAGGCTGGTTCTTCATTTGTCATGGAACCATGACAGGTGGATTATCATACCCAGCCTCTGAATTAAGTTGTGCTTAGCCCTCAGGGGCCACAGCCTTCACTCGAAGACTGGCCAGAACCAATGTCAGCGATAAAGATAAACCCTTGGACCAGTTTCAGCTCATAAGACACAGAAGGAGAGTATCCTGTGAAGGAGGGAGAGTGGGAGGCTTGGCTAAGGCTCTAAAATTGGGAGTAGATGCCACCATAAAGCACTACCCTAGGAGAGTAGATCCAAGTGACCCTATGCAAGTTCTTTAGAATGGCTTCTGGGGCAGTATACATTACCTCAGCTGTTAGCAGGGGCTGGTGTGTGTTCTTGGTTGGGTGTAGAGCTCCAGGCTTCTCCCACCTGGTCCTGACACTGACCTGGATACAGACAAAGATGTTGGCCCAGGGAAGCACATCTGGTAAAGGCTTGATGGCCTACACAGACTTGTAGTACAGAGAGTGTTTCTACTTTGGCACACTCTATGTCCATATCTGCGAGAGGAATGACATGAGTCTGCACAAATCATTTCCAAGCAAGTGATCTGAAAAGCACCAGTATGAAACTCTTCCCTGTGATGAAACTACAGGAACAGCACAGCAGCACCTCTAGGGCCTCTGCCCGGTGGAGACAGGGCCAGCACATGGGGATCTGTGCATCCAGAGACCCTAGGCAGACCTGCCTCTCAGGATTGAGCTGAAGGGCACAGGGTAGGCTTGGCAGGGGAGTAGGACGTGAATCTAGATGATGCCTAAAGGGAATTGCTCAGGAAGACACAGAGCTGCCAGTACCTCCTTCTAGAATCCTCCTTTCTTCCTGTTTTTTGTTTGTTTGTTTGTTTTTGTTTTGTGTGTGTGTGTGTGTGAATTTGAATTACCATCAGGATGCAGTCTGTATACAAGCCATTTCTGGGGACATATGGAGGTTGCCTCTAGACCAGCTCTGGCCTTGGCAGGTTCGCCATATCTACGTACAAGCCTGGGGTGATTTTGCCCTTTCTGTTCCTGCTATAGCCCTGCAGCCATCCCTCCAGTGGACCCAGGCTTAGCTTCTCCAGTTCCCATAAAACATATCCGCAGCCTTAGCTTCTCACCCCCAGCTTTTTTTTTCCCTTTGAGATAGTCTTGCTCTATTGCCTACACTGATCTTGAACTCCTAGACTCAAGTTATCCTCCTACCTAAAGCTCTGAAGTAGTTGTGACTACAGCATGCTCCACTGTGCCTGTCTCTTATGATACTAATGAGAGCTATGGTCTTTGTAATGTTTGAGGATGTAGTGTCCACTCCAGTAACCCAGGCCTCCTTGCCCAACCATCCAAGTTTTCTTTTGGTTAACTGCTTTTAGCTAGGACTGATGGCTGCATCCCCCAGGGTGACTTGGAATCCTGCAGTGCTCTTCTTCTGTAGTTGTTTCAGAGGCTAAATAAACGAGGCATCCGCCCAGGGCGCAGAGCCCTCTGACCCTCATCCTCATTCATCATGATAGCAAGGACTGCTAGAGCCTGCTCACACCAGACTTCCAGGGGGGGGGGGCTTCCGCAGCCACGTTGACAAAGCACAGAAAGTTCGTTTTTCATTGAGATGGAGTTTGCAATCTTCGTGCCTGGTGGTTATAGACAGGTGACCAATCCTAGCAAGGGGGTCCTTGATCCTCTGGCCTGAGAAGTGGAGGCAGTTAGATAGGTCCCCATCAGTCTCAAGGCATTGGCAAATGCCCAGATGTGCCCCTTTGGGCAAGATGAAATGCTGGCAGCTGGTAAGAAGCAGCATGGCCCTGTGAGGCCTTAGGGGCTTGGCTGGTATACTCAGGGATTTGCCTTCCAGCCCCTCAGGTGCTTAGCAATGGCCCTGCTAAGACCCATATTGGTTGGTAGTAGTCACCAAGGTACTCAGGTATACAAGGTATACAGGAGAACACAAAGGAGTGCAAAGCCTCAGGAGTATCATGAGAGCATAGGAAACTACTCCCAGGCTGGTCTACCCCACCTCTGGGCCCAGCATGAGAGGTAACCTGTCTCTGGAGCCCTGTCTTCCTGTAACTCACTGAAGGTAGGGGACTTCAGGGAGCTGACCACTCTGTTGTTCCCTGCAGGCTAACACTGACCCCCGCCCTCTCCTTCTGGTCGGCTATGAGGACGGATCAGTGGCCCTGTGGGACATCTCAGAGCGGAAGGTGTGCAGCCGCATTGCCTGCCATGGGGAGCCAGTCATGGGCCTTGACTTCGACTCCCAGAAGACCAGAGGCATCTCAGGCTCTGCAGGGAAGGCGCTGGCTGTCTGGAGCCTGGATGGGCAGCAGGCCCTACAGGTCAGTGTGCCGGCCCTGGACCTCATTTATCCTGCTCTGCACTAACAGTGTGATAGGCTGAAACAATATTTAGGCATGAAGAGGAGCTGCTGCAGATCCCTAGCTAATTAATCACTTGGAGGTAGTGCAGGAGGGCCTGTCCGCTGCTGGCACAGGGGAAAGGGGTGTGGGCGTGGGCCAGCCGTTCACATGGTTTGGGTTTCTCCTAGATCTCAAGTTAACAGCCGTCACGTCTTGTCCATCTACAGAAAGGCACGTAGAGTCCAGGCAGAACCAACCCCTTTGTGAAAACTCAGAGGAATTTTGTCAGTAAGGAACTGATTAATCAAAAAAAAAAAAAAATCAAAAACCAAACTCTGGAATGCTCCACAGAACCATGGCCCCAATGGTGGTCTATAACCTAACTCTAGGGAGGTTGTTGCTCATGGGTAGCAGGAAACAGGCTATGAGGCCTCAGATCTGAGTGGGGGTTGCTGGAAATCTCCTCATGATGTCTCATAGGCTGTTCCAGTTGGTGTGGCTTGAGGATTGCCTGTTGTCCAAGCTTGGACCAATGGCCACAGTGCCCAGCACAGGGTGGCCTGGCTTGTGTGCTTTCCCCCATTTGGGATGGGAGAGTTTGGGTTAAGGTGGGGGTATATGAGACATGCTCAGACCTTTCTCTGGTGCAGGTCTTCTGAGGAGCCACAGGCCACAGGCCCTGCCTTGGCCTGGGTACATACTGGTTCTGGGGGTGGGCAAAGAACTCCATTCACCAGGAGCCTCAGAAGACAAACTTGGCCTCCACCAACAAGTAGAAACTTTGGAAACAGCCCTGTGAAAAAGGTCTGATGTGGAGGGGTGCCAGGTGGGAGTTGTGTTGTCCCTCAGGGTGACTGATAGCAGAAGCCACAGCAGGCCCAGCTCTCAGCCCCATTGGGGCTTTTGGACCCACAACACCAAAGACAGGATCCATGCCTGCCCTCATCTGTGGTGTGTGGTATTCCAGGCTTCCCACACACTACAGGAGTGTACAAAGAGGACATTGCCAAGACCCTTCCTAAGACAGGGAGGCCTATCTCAACAACCTCAGCATTTCCCAGCCTAGACCCTGTTGCCAGGGGGAAGGAGCTCACCTTTGGCCCATCGGACTCATCCCTGAGTAGACAGACACTGGCACAGAACTGAGGCACATAGACCAGGGGTGGACCCTGAGTAAAAGTAGGGGTGCAGATGGTGCTGAACAGCATTCAGGCCCCCATGGTACCACCAAACCTGGAATGCAACTAGGGGCATCATCATAAAGACTTATGGAAAAGGGACCAAGTAAGGATAGCAAGGGCAGAGGTCATTGGGTGGGGAAAGAGTATTGTATAAGGAGACTGACATGGAACAAAGCTAAAAGGACAAGATAGTAGCAGCCTAAGGACAGGTACTAAAGTCAAGCAGGGGAAGACCTTGGACTGCCCCGTTGGAAGAATGGAGTTTGGAGCCAGAGTGAGGGGCTAGCAGAAGCACCCATAAGGTTGTGCCCACTGCCTTGGTATAAGGCTGGCCTAGCATCCCTGCTAAGCAATATCTGAACAGAGCCCTGCAGGATCATGCCCAATTAGACCCCAGTACAGAAGTGTGAGAGATGGCAGTATGGGGCCTATAGGTAAGGCAGGCATATGTCATACTCAGAGTATAGGTTCATACCCCCTGGGTACCACCTTTTTTCTGGGGGACCAGCCTGTGACAGGTGCACAGTGAACTCCCCAGAGTAAGCTATTCTATTTGTCCCTCTGTTAGTCCATCAGTGTCCCAGAGAAGCCCTCAGAGGCACTGCTGTGAGGGCAGAGCTTCTCATGCCTCACCCAGAAAGAAGTATCTCCAAGGTCTCAGAATCATGGACCTGGGTTGTGATCAGGTGTGAAAGCCATAATGCTAAAGGTCATTTGTACAAATTTGAAGGCTGAGCCACTCTGGGTGCTGGATCTGCATGTTCTGAGCTGCTACCAGGTAGGCATGGGGGCAGGGAAGGTCTCCTCATACCTTTCCCTCCTTTTCCTCAAACCTGATGGGGAGACTCATCAGTGCCACCCCTTATGGGTTCCGGTGTTCATCCCCCGGTGATTTAACCCTCATCAGCCTGACTTTGTAAAGAGCTGAAGACCAGGCAGCTTCTCCAAGATCTCTGTGGCTCCCCACCTAGGCTTCCCTGTACCCGGTACTCTGTGAAGGGGTTGTTCTGGCCCAGATCTGCTTGGTCTGTCTTGGCATGTTTGGGAAACAGCTGCTCGAACTTAAGATTTAAATTTATGGGGTACGTTCCAGTCCAGAGATGAACTTTTACTCTACTAATGAATTGAAAAGTTAAAGCAGAAGGGGGAAGCAGGAATTAATGAATTGAAAAGTTAAAGCAGAAGGGAAACCAGGAATTAAAGTGATTGGGGTGATGGTAGGCCCTGGGCAGGTCTGGCTCAGCCTCCCACATCAAAGGAAGAGGAGAGTTCCCCAACCCCCCCGCCCCCACTGAGCACCAACTGCTCCTGCTGCTGAAAGAGGTCCTGGGAGGGGAGGGAATAGCCCCATGGAGAGGGTAAAGGCAGATATTCCATGCTTTACCTGATGGCATGTCCAGTGCAGGTCCCATAGACCCTGAAAATTTTAGTTTCCGTAAGCACCAGACTTCCGGGGAGGAAGCATTCTTGGGTGTTTTAAGGATGCAAGCCATCTGAGAGCTGCCTTGATAACCTGGAAGTAAGTGAGGTGATTCATGCCCTCAGCATCCAAAAGCATTCTCACCTATGCCATGGTGCTGTATAACATGGCTGCTTGCCTTGGCCCAAGACTTACATGCCACAGATGTGCCTTTCTTATGTCCTTCTGTTAAAACCTCTAATGAGCCCAAATCAATCTCTCCCAGGCCGGCGCTGGGAGCAGACATGGATGAGGAAACCTCAGAACACGGGTAATCAGAACCAGATGGCAGCCATGCTGTGCATTCCTGGCACCTGAGGTCATGTGCTATAAGAGCCACTTGTGGCCCGAGATCCTTTCTAGAAGGCCCTGCCCCAGGCCATGGCCTGGTCAGGGGCTGCTGTGGTGACCAAGAGACTCCTTGCTCAGGATGATACCCAGGGCTTGCCTTGGAGACATTTGGTGACACTAGAGCTGTGGGCCTGCCTTACCCAAGTGGCTTTCCCATAAGCCATCAGGTTTGGGCTTGGCTGTCGTCGAAAACAGGTGGTATGCAGGCCCTGCTCCTTCCTCCCATACTTGGGGCAGGGCCCACAGCCTTGAAGCAGGGACTGATTTACAGCTAGTAGTATTTTTAGTATTTTTAAGTCTTTAAGTAATAATCAGGCTTCTCAACCCCAGTCAGCCCTGGGCTGTGCTGTCTCCATACTATACTCAGTGAACATTCTGGCTGCACCACAGTGGTAGCTGCTCCCCTTCCTCTCCTTGGCTCTGCCAGGAGCTTCCCTTTAAATGGCAGTAGCAGAGCTACCTATGACAGCCAGGAATGAGACTGCAGGGTCCAGGGCCAGCTACCTGTGCATCCAGAGTTTCTGTGCCTATTGTAACAGGAGACAAGGATGAGGGCACAGACCTCTGGCCAGTGTTTTTGCATTCCCTTGGAGCCAGGTCCTCTTCATCCTTGGGAACACAACCCCCAGGACAGGTGCTGACCTTTTTCCGCTTTAGGTCTCTGCACAGACTTCTTGTCTCCCTCATTGCCTACCAGGAACTCTGTCCTCTTACCAGGCTCTCTGCCTTGATGTCATTACCCATTTCTAGGAGTGGCTATGGTAGGTGTAGAGTCTCTTCTCTCCCTGAGAACGGTGACTGCTCAGCTAGTTGCTCAGTACAGCCAAGTCCCTTGGCAGAAGCTGGATATTTTAGCCCCTCACAGGTGAAATCATTGGTATGGAAGCACGAGAAAGCTAGTGTTAGGCTGCCCACTGCCCTGCCTGTGAAGACCACAGTCCAGGGCTCTGCTGAACCCTTCTGCTTGACCTGGAGCAACAGGGGACATATTTAAAAGCAGCACTTTTCTCCCAGAAAAACTTCACACAGTTGGGAAATTTGTAGAAAGAGGGAATAGCAAGGAAGTGACCTTGAGTCCCTGAGTAAGTGTTCCTAGCCAGGCTCACTGCTTGTTATCCAGAGATCCTCTCTCTACCAGGGGAGAGTTCACAGGAGAGAAAAGAACAAGATGATATCAAGTCAGTCTTTTGTCCTGGTTCCTAGCTTCCAGTGTTCCCTGGGCCAACAGTGTTCTGGTCCTTGGAAGTCAAGGAAAGGACTTCTGTGTCTGCAGACATAGGCAAGTACATCCCACAAACACCTACACTGCCTCATGGTCCTGTCCAGCATGGGCCATCAGCTGGGTCATGGTAATGCTCCTGAAGGCAGCTTGTATGTAGAGCCAAGTGGGGATAAAGGGGCTGTGTAGAGGGGAGGGTACAGCCCAGCAGCTGGGCATTTTGCACACTGAGGACCCATCTGGGCTTATGGTTATAGAGTTGAAAACCTGTTCAGTCGCTTGTATGCAAGCATAAGCAGGAAGCACACAGGTTCCTTAAAGCTAGAGTTCTATCTATAGGACTTTGTCTATAGGAATTTTTCTATAGGATTAAAAATCTTCAAGGTATTTTCCTAATGATGAGATCAACAGAAGGCAAGTGAAGTGTCCTGGACACAGGGATAATGCTGGCTGAGATAGACAGCCAGAGAAGGGTGAGCCCATGAGGGGTGGTGGACACTGGGGACATTGGCAGATCCATGAATAGATGGACTCAGGCACTGGAGAGATGACTGAAAGAGAGGAGGTTGGGCTGATAGGGTCCTTGGCCATGAGATAACAGAACAAGTGACAAGGCGATTGGAGGATAAGCAGTTGAGGTGCTGGTTGTATGTAGAACCCAGAACTTGCCTCATGTGTGGGCAATGACATACCAGACTAGGCTGGATTAACAAGGAGGCTGTGTTTGCAGCAAGTTATTGAGAGTTTTTCATCAGGTGAGATTCCTTCT